ACAAAGAAGAGTATAAAAAAGTTTAGTAGGGAGAAACAACTACCCCAAGGCGTACGGAAGGGACAGGATAAATGGAGTCAACCAAAAGTGTTTGTAGTGACTGGTTCCCCCTTTTATTGGGTTGAATGTTAGGGATGAAAAGTGGTGTTCTGGAAAATTTCAAAACAGCAGGTCATGCATTCATAACAAATATCTATTCCTTTCCAAGGTCTACCTTGTCACACCACACCTATTCAATGTGGCTACTGTGAGAGGTAGTGAAACATTCTGACCTACAGTGTCACCAATATGTGGTTGATTACATCCTACAGATATACATTCCCCTTTTGTTCAGTCCTGATACAGCAGATTCTGTGCTTTCCCAGGGCATGTTGGGTGTATGGACAGGGAAAGTGGATAGACTCCTAACTGGGCTTGACTCAATCCTGATCTTAAAATGGACTAATGATGATAGGTGGTTTGAACCCTCTTGGGGAACAAGCAAGAGCATTTGGGACTGTATGTCTCACTTTTGCCAAAATCAAGTGGGCCCATCTCAGTTCTTAAATTCTCAAGTAGCAGCTCTAGCACATAGACAGAACTCCATGTATTCTGTAGCAATGTGCACCCTAATTCTGCAGCAAGGTCCCTGGATTCTGTGGTTTTGTAGAATAGCAGATTGGAAATCCTGTGACAGCTTCAGCTTAAATTTGAAAATGGAGGATTTTCTTGCCATAAATATGAAAGCAAACACCACAACCAGTACCTTACTTAGTGTGTGATGGGGTGATATTAAATTCAGTTTACAAAGCTGATTTTAAAATGATCTTTAGGTTTTCAAAGTCAGCACCCATATAGATGAATCCACACTTATGTGAGCTTTTCTGTCAGGTGCTCTGCAGATTCAGGCAGACATCACTGTATTGGGTCACATTTTCAATGTTATTTTCACAAACACAAGGCCAAAGAGGATATTGAGCGGGGATCCTCAGCTGGCGTAAGTTATCATAGTGTCTTGCATTTCAGTGGACCTATGGCAATTCACATCAGCTGAGCATCTAATCTGTTTTTTTTTAATGAAAGCTTAAAATGTTATTTTATGGCAAAGGATTGGCTTATGTGGATGCAGAATCCTGGACACAGTGCCTGTTTCCATCTAACATAGGCCCAAAGGTTATGCCTCTTTCTTTACAATGCAGACCTGGCATAGTGACTCAGACCTTTGTAAGCTGTAGCGTGGATTACTGTAACACTGTGCATTTAAGCTACCTTTGAAAAGTGCCTCATAAGAGGGGGTCAAGGTACCATATCAGTGCACAATACAAAGGCCAAATTCTGTCCTGACTCACACTTTCTGCAATCCCACTAAAGTCCACAGGGTTACATAGGGTATGAGTCAGGGCAGAAGTAGGTCCCCGCACACAACTCTCCAGTTATCTATTTGCATCAGAGTGCAATTTTATCATGTTGGTTATCACCTACAAAGCCCTAAATGCCCTAATATAGTTACCCAAGTGGACTGCTTCTCTCTCCAGGCCATGGGGTGTTACTTAGTTCAGTCAGGCTGCTGAAATTAGTTTGCTTTCACATAATACTGAGGATGTGAAGATTTTTTATGTTCTTCTGAATGGGAGGTTGCATGGTTAGTCCTTAAGATGAAAGGCTGGTATTTGCCAATGTTTTTTGTAAAGGTACAGTATTGCCAAAGGGCACCAGGATACCTTTACAAATAAACACAGTACTCCTGCCAGGAGGAGCACAAATGAAATTCACCAGACTAAGGTGGTGGTTTTCTTCCATAATCTCTTCTATTTCTTCATCCCTTTATATTTTTTTCCACCTCCATACTATTTTTTCCACTGTTTTCTATTTCCGATATTATTTTCTTACCTCCTGCTTTTTTACATTTTAAATCAGTACTTTTCCTCTCATTTTCTCCCTTTTACATTCACAGTGTTTGTTGTCCTCCCCTTTGCCAGGAGTGATATGCCTAGCTCATTGGAACTTCACCAGAACACCATGTGATGGAATAGCAGATAGGCATCCCTTTGTGCTATAGCCTAGCAAAATAGCTGTCTTTCCCCCTCCCCATCTACTGTGTTTTGTGGCTCCCAGTCATGAAGCAGAAGGCTAGAGCCTGTTTAGAATGGACTATCCACTGATCACTTCATAAAGCAGATCACATATCTTCATACAGCTAAGTTAAGTGTCATGAGAGTAAAGGAGAGAATCTTGCATCGTAAGGACATAACCTATGCCTGCAATTGTCGATGTCACCTTCTGTAACATACACATTCACCATTCAATTCTAGAGAAGCTGGGGTGGAAGGTGGGGGTGGCTCGGAAGGAGCACAAGAAGGCAATAACTGGAGTGATGAAAGATGCTTTACTCACTGAAGTGCAACTGTATTGAGGACACATCTGAGGTCATGCAACTTTCACCACTGCAATTATTTCTTTCTTGAGCCATACTCAAGATTAGTCTGAGCAACTGGCAAGGAGCTCACCTCTAAGATGAGAAACTCTGCTCTAGTTCAAAGATACAGCTGGTTCCTATCCCCTTTACTTCTCCCATTCTGATCTTTCAGTCTCCTCTATGCTTCTCCCTATATCACATTGATATTCCTTGGTCCTCCCCAAATCTCTGCCCCCTAAAAATCTCTCTCTCAGTCCTGTTTTTCCTGTTTACTCTCTCTCCCTGAGCTCCCCAGGCCTGGCACCAGAGATTAAATTAACCCTGTGTAGAAAACCAGCACAAGGCCTATTTATGTATGGCTTAAATGGTGCATAGATCTTCTACTGGACCTTTGTACATGGATGATCTTCAGCTTGCAAGTTTTACTTGAGTTTTGTAGAAATTGGAAACTTGGTAAGATTTGATGAGATTTTGTATAACTGGTGTATCTTATCAGTAATTATAATTGGGTAGCTTCGTTAGCTAATAGACTAAACCTTGGCTAAAGTAATATACTACATTAAACTAACAACAGAAAACAAGATTAATTTTTTATCATGATTTTTTATGCATGAGATTGTCTATAGATACAACAAAAGCTACAAAACAACTCAGGCTTTGAATAATCTGTTAGAAGAGTGTAGTGTAATAGAATAAAGGGTATCTTTATTCTACCCTTGATTTGTTGATACTAGTCAGCTATTACCTATAGACCTATGGTTGATAACTATATTTTAAATCCTTGAGCAATCAATTCAGTGAAAGGATAATGCATTATTAAGTCTGCAACTCTGTTAAATCAAACAATCTCTGGGTTCACATTGGGTCTTTCTGTAGATTTAGAACTCCAGGTTTAGTACTATTCTTCAGAGGTGTAAAATTAAACAAAAAATAAAAAAACCCACCCACCAAACCAACCCCGAGTTTGTGTCTGTGTAATTCCCATCGTTAGTGAATGCATGATTTTTTTAAAGGAATTTCACTAAACAGTTAAATACCAGATTTTATTAGCTGGTCATATTCTTGTACATACACTATAAAAATGAAACAAGCAGTTCTTAAAGACAACAGAAATATTTTATTTTACACCTAAAAGATAGCAATGTTAATAAATAAGGGCCAAATTTTGCCACCCTTACTCCTTGAGACTATTCTGAAGTAAGATATTGCTCTATTGAAGGAAAAGTGACAAAATTCGGCCCCTAATTGACACTGTGTAACAACTGTCATGAAACCAAAGCATAATTAGAAGTCTAACAACTAAAGAGATGCAGGACATACTTTCCTGAATTGTGGCTATAAAACATAATTAAGGATTAAAATATTCCAGGCAAGACTAAAAAAACGGGGAGTGTTACACAAAGTTAGAGTCCGAAGTCCTTATTTAGGCCCACCTAAATAATAGATGGATATTCAGGAGTGCCAAACAGTTCCCCTTGGATCTCAGTGGGACTCACTGGATTGCTCACCATTATAAGGCATTCATGACAAAGAAGAATGATCTTTTAATGTTATTATTTTATCTCTAGTAGGGTTGTTGCACTAATTCTTCTATGGAGTCCTTTCCCTGAGATCAGATACAGTATGAAAATGGTAGTGATGATGCAGTTCCAACTTCTCCCTAGAACAGAATACAAAAGGAATAAAAATAGATATCTAATTTCAGCAGGTATATATTCATCACTAATTAATTAAAAACTAACCACATTGTTTTCACTAGCAGTTGTGGTGAAAAATTAGCAAGATAATTTGCTAAAATTATTTATTCTTTTAGCTTTTGATATCTATTTAAAGATCAAGTAATACACAGTTCAGCTTAACAGGATGCCATCGCCATATAATTTACACATTACTTACGTTCATTAACTAACATGATTACTTTTATACCACATAAAAGGTCATATTTTGAAAGCATAGGATTAGTGTAAAATATAAACCAGCCATTAGATAATACTGTATTTCACAATGTAAAATTTGTTCCAGAAATAGTGTCACACCACATTTTAAGTATTTTTTAAATTTAGAAATATCCTAATAAAGAGCTAAAATGTTTGAGTCATTAAGTAGCGTTGGGACAAAAAAATACTGAAGCTTGATGTTGGTTACATGAGATTTCACTTAAAAGGAAACAAAGATATATTCAAGAGTACAGCTAAAAACATAGGAAGGGCCATATTGGGTCAGACCAAAGGTCCACCTAGTTCAGTGTCCTGTTTTCCAACAGTAGGTAAACATGACAAGACTTACTTGTCCATCCATGTTCCTTATGTTGAAGCTAGTTTCCACACTTAATTACTCTTGGGGGTATTCTGTGCCACTGCACACTAGCAATGTAATATCCTGATTAATCAGTTAACCTGTTAAATGTTAGGTTAACCTAATGTTTAACTGGTTAACTGACTAAGCATGATCCCAGCACTGGGGCTCAGAGCTTGCCAGCTGGAGCAGCCCCAGTCCAGGAGGCTCCCAGCCCTGTGCTGGCCCAGGGCCAGGGCTGCTGCTGGCAAGCTCCCAGCCCTGGTGCTGCTGCTGAGAGCTCCTGGCCCTAGCATTGGAGCTGCAGCTATCACTGGCAAACTCCCAGTCCTGGCAATTGAGGCTGTAGCTGCCACCGACATGCGCCTGGCCCCAGTGCTGCGTCAGCCCTCCGCCCACAGGGGGATACTCCTGGGCACTGGTTAACCGGCAATTGGTAAGCATCACTCAGCAAGGTTAACCAGTTACCAGTTCACATCTCTACTGCATGTGATCCGCATTTTTTTTTTGTCTGCAGAAAATACATTCTACTGGAGAGGGTCTTCACTTACACCTTTTACCCAGCAGGGGATGCTGTGGCATCAGAACAGAGACAGCTGGCTCACTGTTCACCTGCTGTAGCAGTAGGAAGCTGATAGGTAAAGAGCAGAGCAGAGCTCATTTCTCACAGCTCCTTGCCTGTGAAGTCAGGTGAAGAAGAATGAGATGGGGGGAGAGGGGTTGTTCAGAAGGACTACTGAGGGGGGTAGACAGGACTGGGAGTGCACATGAGGGTAGGGGGGTGCTGAGTGGGAGTGCAGGGCCACATGGGCCTGGAAAAGGAAGTGAGGCTCAGGGGGCGCAGAGCTGTATGGAGATGGGCACAACTGAGTGAGGGGCAAGGGCTAGGAGGCAAGGACACATGTAGACAAGGGGGTGCATGGAGACAGGGATTACAGGGACACTTGGATTGGAGGAAGGAGTGCATGGAGATGGGCAAGGGGGTGCAAGGACACAAGGAAACAGGAGAAAGGGGTTTCAGGGACACATGCAGTAGGGAAGGAGTAGCTGAGCTGGGGGTGCAAGGACACATAGGAACAGAGGCAGGGAGCAGGGACAAATGAGAATGGGAAGGGAGTAAATGGGGATGGGTCAGGGATTGCATGGACAGATGGGGATGGGAGAGGTGGTGGCTGTGTGAAGATTCAGAGACACACAGTGATGGGGGAGAAGGGTGAAGGAGTTAGAAGACAGAGGGTGGAGGCACGAATGGAAGGGAGTGCATGAGGTGGGACGAGGGGATGCAGGGACACATGGGGACGGAGCAGAGGCAGCAGACACATAGGGACTGGGGTATACATGCCTGACTGACTGGAAGATCTTAGGGATTAGCTGGGGAAGGGAAGGCTCCATAACTTCCTAACAATCCCCACTTGCTTCTCCCCCCAAAAAATGTTTCATATTTTTCCCACCGAAATCTAACAACCCTCCAGGTTTACTCAAAGGCTCCTTCCCAGCAACTGCTTCTCTCTCCCTTAGCTCCTCCTTTACCTTAGATTCCCCCAAGCCTTTGAACGGCCTCTGAGGGGTGCAAGAAATACATTTCTGTAGTGTAGTTTAAATTAATTATAACTCAAAGTTCTGTATTAATATGCATACTAAGGAATCTGTAAAAAAAAATTTCCTGAATATTTTTGATATCTATGGGTATGTCTACACTACAGCACTAATTCGAACAAACTTAATTTGAATTAGTTAATTCGAACTAAGCTAATTCGAACTAGTGCATCTAGACCTAAAAACTAGTTTGAATTAGCATTTTGCTAATTCGAACTAGCATGTCCACATTGAGTGGACCCTGAACCGAGGTTAAGGCTGGCCGGAAGCAGTGCTGGCAGGGCATCAGGTTAGGACTTAGAGCATGGAGCTACTGCCTCAGGCTAGCCGAGGGCTGTGCTTAAAGGGACCTGACCCCCACTCTGGACAGACAGTTCTTAGGGGTTCCCCGCTTGCAAAGTAGTCTTGGCTTTGAGTGCCCACACTCGGCACATCACAGCACTCGGCTATCAGCCCAGCTGCACTTGCCGCAGGCTGCCATCTGGGGGGCTGTCAATTGGGGGGCTGAAGGAGAGCTTCCACCCCGAGGAGCCCGCAGAGCCAGCCCAATCCTCCCCATCGGGGGCTCATACCCCATTCCTCCCTCACCTCCTTCCACTTACCCCTCCCTAACCCCCCTTCCTGATGTACAAAATAAAGGACATGTGAGTACAAAAACTCTCTTTATTGAACAAAACTTGGGAGACTGGGAAAAGGAGGTGGGAGAGGGGAAGAGAGAGGGTGGGAGAGGGAAGGGCAACTAAAATGATCAGGGGTTTGGAACAGGTCCCATATGAAGAGAGGCTAAAGAGACTGGGACTTTTCA